AAATATATAATAATATATTATTGGGTTATTTTATATTAGATTTACTGATAGAATTGATGAATAATATACCTATAAAGAAATGAAAGTCTGAATTAGATACCTATACGCATAAAAATATCCATGTTTTAATTGTATTCAAATATTTAAACAATAATATTAATATCTATTGGGTACCTACTTAAACTTATAGGATAACCAATAAGTATTTATAAGTAAAAATATTAAAATATTGTAAAATTGTGTCTAGATTTCCGTATTGGGTCTGTAGTGATCATCATCCCACCTGTGGTTCCAAAAGAGGGAGTAAAGTTATCGTGATTGTAGCTTCTTCGACGGATTGCGGTAGTAAAGTTACATAGTGTGTTTGTTATCTTCATTCGTATATCTTATAAACCTGTCCATAATCTGCCACTATCAAAATTCAAAGACGCGTGATGAAGGCTTATCCATCCTTTTGAGTCAACCCACAACAGTCAATGAGTAATTAATGATTCAAATTTGCCAATTTGACCAGTATAAACCCGAGCTCTAGTTGTTGCTTATACCTATGGCTACATGGTTAGGTTAGGTTAACGTTTATTTAGACGTTTAAATAGTATCTAATTATAGTAGGTAATTAAGCGTTGTCACTAATAAGTTTTATTTTACAAGTCAAGTGTATTAAAGTCACAGTAAAATATACAAAATATAATATGATTGTTGAACAATATGTTTTTATTCAACCTTAATACCTTTTACATTAATAGGTACTCAATATAGTTATACCTGTTATGATTTATGACTACCTTTATATTATTTTATTTTGACCTAGTTACATTTTATCGTTCCTCGAAAGCGGGCATCACGTTATTTTGGCATTAAATATCGTAGATTGTTATATGAACACAATTACACGTTTGACACCTATAACTATAAAATAAAATAAACAATAGTAATATACTTAGTTGGTGTATATGGATCTTGCGATTTTTATAAATGATTAAAAATTAACGAGAGTAGTAAGCACGAAGCCATTTTTTATGTAATAATATAGATATTACCGTATCAGCAGCGTGTGTTATATATTATGTACAATGTGTTTGCACTCGGTGATCAAAGTGTTGATGACTATGATAATAATAATAATAATAATAATAATATATCGGATGACGGCGGTGTATATTATTATATACATACTATTTACGCACAATGGACCGGCGAGGCGGCAAAAGTCCTCGAAAATCGCGCCGATGGTAAAAAGAGATTATTGCTCGTGAAATAAACAACATGCAGCGCGTGTTAGAAAAAAAAAACAGAAAACAGAAATGTGTATACATATATACGCGTGATGATCATAATCATCGGACGACACGTATACAGTATCTCTGTAGATTCCCCTCTCTATCATATCCTTGTCTATTATATACATGGATATACATGTAAAATAGTATAGAGTACCTACACTCGGCCGATGTGTATAATATACGTATGTATAATGTGTAAGTCGTGCAACATATGCAACACCCTATCTACGTGTATATATCCGGTCCAACGCTAGACCAGATGTCGCTCGGCAAGCAGTATAATATATAATATACTATATTATGTACAGTGTCCACACGTATAATAGTCGCCTGCAGTGTTACATAATTAATTGATTCGACGCTACCGGTCGCGGTGTCGAAAACACTTCGCAAACTCTCGGTGTATGGCAGAACAAAAAACCAACTAAAATGGTACACAGTTAATAATAATATCGGTCACTATATTACTATTTTACTGTAACTACCGACTACGGACTAGTCAAGTCAATATAGTAGTTGATAGCAGGGGCGTGCTCAGCTTTTTCCAATGGGGGGGGGGATGAACCCTATTTTGTTTTGTTGATTATCATAGACACAAAATGTTCTTATGGGTATATACGTTGGTATTTTAGAAGTAGGTTGATATATATTATATTATATACATACCTACCTACTTGTTATTCTAAGATTATCACTGAAAACTTTAAAACTATATTCTATATAGCTAAACATAAAATTCAAAATGTATTAATGTTTTATATATTTGGACATGTTAAAATTATGGGTCTAAAGACCTAAATTACAAATTCAAGTTTTCTTGGTTTCTTAGCCATTAGGAGACTCAATACTTCATCTGGAGTAACGCTTATATCTTTATGAACTGCCAATAGCGTTAATCCATTCAAACGGTCCTAAAATGGTTATTCGCCATTCGGTTGATTAGGAAACGTGTTTTATATTATTAAAAAAATAACAATAGATTGTGACGGGCACGCCGGAGCGGACTATTTTGGTTACATAATTACACAATAACACAATATTACCATTACTACAGTACCAACCACGAACTAAGATATACTAGATATAACTAGATAAGATAACTTAGTTCGTGGTACCAACTATATATATTTTACATCTTTGATAATTATTACATAACTAACAAATTAAAACCAATTATGCATTACCTTTTTTTTTCGAAAAAAGCGAATCAAGCAAGAAACTTAAGTAAATGCATAAAAAAAAAGTTCATGGTGGGGATATGACACCCCCCTCCCCCATGAGCACGCCACTGGTTGATAGTTGTTTTTAATTACCGCGACATTCATTTAATTTGACAGATCAGACATTAAGAGGACGTGTACCCGCATGTGTTGTCTCCATCTTACAAGTGTGCGGTAACATGGACAATTTTATACTAAGCAGCTAGAACACGTGTAGCTCCATTAGTTTAAAAATTAGATCGAATTGACCTCTTATAAAATCTAAAGGTAAGATTATTATCTAGGCAGTCTCTTGGGCTTTTTATTATATTTTAATAAGAGTTATGAGTATTTTAAAATTGTAAATTATTTGTACATCTTAAAATACTCATAACTCACTTTTAAATTAAAGTACATTAAAAAGCCCACCAGGTTGTATAGATAACAATTTTATAAGAGATAAACTTGCTCTAATTTTTAAATTAACGGAGCTACACATGTTCTACTGAGAATACAATTTGATATGTTACGTCCACGGAAAACAAACGAATCGGCATCAAAAAGTGGTTTTAGAGTAAAAATACCTATAATAAAACTTAAAGAGAACAATATTTCGGAGGGAAACTCATCGGGGTTTTGTATTAATCTAAATACACAGCTAGATATTGAAGGCACAAAAACTCTTTTTTTTAATTTTTTTAAATAACCACAACTTTTTTAATAGTTAATAAACGCCGATGAGGTTCCCTCCAAAATATTGTTCTCTTTAAGTTTTATTATAGGTATTTTTACTCTAAAACCACTTTTTGATGCCGATTCGTTTGTTTTCCGTGGACGTAATTTGCTATGTTACGCGTTTGTAAGACGGAGACAACACATGCGGGTGTGGCGTCCTCTTAAAGGGAAAATTAATTCGTTTATTCTTTTGAAGTTAAAAATCTATAGGTACTATAAAGTAATAAATCAAGTTCATACATTTTGTTCAAATCGACTGATTTTGAAATATGTTCATATATTTTCTATGATATTAAAAGTTTATATTGCACCCAAGGGGAAATAGAATAGAAACAAAAGAAGAGAAAAGCGCTGGAGTTAGTAAATATTGAAGTCTTGTGTGTTCTTCAATATAATAGTCCAGGCAAATTAGATAAAATAGCGGAAAATAAAGCAGGAAAGCTGAATTTTGGTATACACCTTTATTGAAGGGTACTAAGGGCCGATTTCACCAAATATGCTTTAATCGTGGTTACAGTAATCATGCCACTGAAAAAAAAACCTTGGTAACATTGATAAAAATATGGATTGGATCAATAAAATATTTGTCACTATACAGCTTACAAACAAATTTATCCAATCAACAAAATTAAAATGTCAGTTCCTAAGGATCTTCAAAAATGACAAACATTTTATCATTTTGATTTAACTTATATTATTATTTTGATTATATTATATTGTAATGGTGAAATTGTTTTCATAAAATTTCTGATCAATACAATAAAATATTTAATCAATACAATAAATTATTTGATTAACACATCTTAAGAAATTTGTTGTCAAGATTATTAATTTTATCTTTTCAATAAAATGTTTTTGTTACTGATAAAAAAACTGTTCCCATTCAACAAAATATGTTTATTATTTCAATAAATTATTTTAATCATATTAACTGAATTTATTATTGGTTGAAATAAAATATAATATGCAAATTGCAAATACATATAAGGTATTAAATTTTTTTTTTATTTTTTAGAAAATTTCAAATATTATTAAACATAAATGTGAGCAAAATGTAAATATAAATAAAATTATACAGCCAAAACAAAATAGATATATTAAACATATATTAAAATAATTGAATAGTTTAGGCACATAATGTACCTATACAATATAAATTCATATAAATTATACAAGTAAGACAGTGTATTAAATATATTTAAATAACATAGGTACCTAATGAAGTTTAGATAAATAAAGTATACAATACAAATACATATAAATTACATTATAATGTTTTACTGTGTAGTGTTTAATATGTCCATATACTACACTACTACTATGAATACTTATAAACAAATAAATAAAATAAATAAAAGGTATATTAAATTAAATTATATTATAACGAATAAGTAGGAAATTTATATATAATTTAAACCACACAACAGCCTAAGGATAACATATATTTTTTAAGCAACATAAATACAACAAGTATACCTAGGCTAATACAAATAACACTATGTGTAAATTACGTGAAAAATGTTTATACATATATTATTATTTTTATATATTATCTATAGGTATATTGAATAACATTAATGATGTATTTACAAAAAAAGAAAAAGAAACATAGGTTTATAAATGTATACATATTTTAATATTATATAGTTAAAGTAGTTAATTACAAGTAAGTAAATAAATTATTATTCAACTTATAAAATATATATTTAACTATTTATTTTTATTTTTTTTATTAGGTTCTAGTATAATAACTAATAAAGCTCAACAATTATATAAAATTTAACTATTCAACATTATTTTCTAAATCAAATATCAATTGATTTAGATTAGGGTGGGATTTATCGAACTTGGTTTTAATATTATACAAATATTTTTGAATAAATAGCCATACAGCACACGATTCTACTGGGTACTCTAAATTAAATAAATGTATTATTTTGAAACATACATCTATAGCTCTTAATACAGTGAAAACTTTATACTTTATTGTATCAAAATATACTATTATTTCTTTTGGTTGTAGTGGTGTACCAATAATCAAAATAAAAGGCTGAATCGGCATATTAAGGCTATATTTATTAGATATTAATTCTTCAGCTTGGGAAACAGTACTGCAAAACACCACAAAAGTATTTTGGGAATCTTTTATAGAGAATTTAATAATATTCTTTTTTCCCTTATCATCCCTGGTTACTTTCTTAGTAGTTGGAACAAGTAACGAATGTAATAAATAAAACGTAACTGCTTGTTTAGCATCTGAAAATATATTATAAAATTAGTTATCAATATTCAAGACTACAAGTCTAAGATATTATAATCTTATTAAGAGATATAATATACAGGCTGTCACACTGAGATCTGACAAATGAAATAACTTTTGTTCTAATTAATATTTTTAAAAAATTTCTTCAGTATTAAAAAATAAAAAATAAAAAGTCTATACTAACAATGTAGCTCAATTGTCTATGAATTATATTTAAAAGACATTTTTTAAAAATATTAATTAGAACAAAAGTTATTTCATTTGTCAGATCTCAGTGGGACACCCTGTATAATATATAAATTGTTGCAAATTACTTTCACATGGATTTTCAATCTCATTTAAACTCTCTAATAATTTACGAGAGCTCATATCTTTGATTTTTGTTGTTAAAATATTAAATATTCTGAATAATTTTAGTTCATAATTGCCCAGTACATTGAAACAATTTGGATGTAGAACATTAAAATCAATATCGATCTGAAAAATAAATTTGCAGGTACCTAATAAATATTTTACATTTTGTTATTTAAATAAGCTATAAGACATGTTAGCTCAAGCCCAAATAGGTCTACCTATAAAATAGTCTAGACAGGTAGGGCCGGTAGGGGTATTAGGTAATCAGCAGGGTCCATTTACGTATTTGTTTTTGGATACACAGGAAACTATAAGTAAAAGGTTAACGACCGCTGGTCTCAGGTATAATCTATATCCATATCTTTAATATCATAGAACATCATGTATTGATAATCGCAGTCAAAATTATTTTATTTACTATCAAGTTTGTGATTACAATGTTATCATACAGTATACACTATACAATCTAATATCTAATATGTTTGGTAATATTAATTATATACCTTATTATACATTTATAAAGGTCAACCAGCAGATTCATAAAAATTGATGCTACAGTTTATATTTTGTATTAGTATCAACTAAAAGTGTAGGAATTAGTTACTTATAGGTATGTATTAAATTAAACCAATGTTTATAAATTATTTTTGTAACATGATGGTTGCTAGGCAAAATAATGCATAATATAATATCAATGATTTACTATTCGCAGTTTTACTATGGCGTATAGGTACATCTAAGTATAGTACTCTAAGTCTAAGGCAACAGTGTTATGTAAATTGTAATAAATTATGTAAAATAGATAGATGAACACACAATTGATTATAGTAGTATATATATACCCTTTTTGGTATTATTTACCTACTTATAATATTAATCAATTTTATTTAAACTTAATATTTGCATGTAATGTGCAGCATATAATTGTTTCAAACAACTTATTGTTGAATGTTGATTCAAATTTAATTTAAAAAAAGGTGGGTAAGTGGATGTCGCTCTGCTGTACTGTAGGTTACAAGTGGGTCACTGTATAATGGATGGTATTAAATTTGAATTCAATGATACAATATCATTGTATAAGAAAAACCATTCTTAGCGAAGACGGTATGTCAGTCTAGGTTTAAGACAAATTATATACATATCTATGGTATTAATTAAAATTTTAATGTGTAATTTCGTCCAAATTTGAACATAAAATGACTATAAAAATAAACTGTGATTGTATATTTTTTAGATTTTTTGGCAAAAGAATTAACTACTTACGTGGAATCTTGTTTTAAATTTTCAATCCTTAGCTATAAAAACTGATTATTTTATAATTTATTAATTACGATGATTAATAATTTTCGAGATTTTGAAAAATTCTGTTAAAATTCGATGTTTAAATGCTTATAAAAAACCATGTGTGTTACCAGTACGCGCGCGGGAAGTTAAACTTCTTTTGAATGGTACACGTGAGTGAGTGAAAAAGAAAGAAAAAAATATTAATTAATTTAAAAAATGAGAAGAAGTATCTGGAATTATTTATTATTTTTATATTTTTATTCGACAGATCGATGGGTAATTGTTTGTAGTATTGTTTTTATCCAGACAATAGATTTGTGAGTGAATACTAATAATAATAATAATAAAAATAAATAATAATTGATCATTAATTATTCATATAACAAATTTGGTTGCTCGTAAAAAATCACAACTCTTAAAAAAATTATGATTGTTGAACTCCTTTTGGGTGTAACTTGCTGGGGTAAGTGCAACTCAGCCACTCTGGTAGGCAATGTTCAATAATTTGATTTGATGCAAGCTTGTACCTGATCTGCCCGAATAACCAATGGCAACCAATAAATAAATGCTAATTTCTAATGTAGACTGTAACCAATGGTAACTATTAATAAATAAAAATAAAATTTCCAATTTCTATCTTGAATCTCAATGTCCCTGTTTGAGCACCTATTTAAAATGCGAATTTCGAAAAATCCTTTCTTAGCACACGTCTACATCATGATGCTATCTGTATGCCAAATTTCAGCCAGATCTGTCCAATGGTTTGAGCTGTGCGTTGATAGCAGTCAATCAGCTTACTGTTTTATATATACAGATATATACATATATATTATATTATAATATATAATAAAACAACATTACCATGGCAATATTTATTTATTTACGGACATGTACGCTTTCGCGTTCGTACGCGCCGCCCGTTCGCTTTTTTTTTTCCTCACTACCGTGCGTAAAGAAGTATAACTTCAAAAAAACTGTGCCTATGTATTTTTAATATTTTTCAACTGATATTGTAACAATATATCAGGAGCCTTGTATTAAATTTTTACACTTTTTGGCCCAACAGATAAAACTTTATTGATATTCATAGAAAAAAAAACTAAAAAAATTAAAAAATGAAAATATCCGTAAACAGCTCAAAAAGAGTCAAAATATTTTCAAAATTGTATGGTGTATAGGAAATGCTTATACAAACATTCAGTGAAATTTTCATGTATCTATAGTTATTCGTTTATGAATAACAATAAAATATAAGGAAATCGCTACATGAGAAATCGAGTGAACATCCAATGTTGTAAAAATTTGAATTTCAAACGCTCATAAAAATTTAATTTGACTCTCCGGTAGAGATTTTTTTATTGATAAAGGTAGACAAACTTATGAGTAATCTTGTATTACATTTTCAAATCTTAGATTTAAAAAGAAAAATTTTTACGAATACTTAACTCAAAATAATTTGCTAATTTTCGTGATTTGTCAATTTTTGAACTTTAAATGCTTATAAAAAAAAACTGTGACTAACGATTTTTAATATTTTTCATCTGCCTTTGAAACAATATAGTAGGAACCTTGTATTAAATTTTCAAGTATTTCTACTCAACAAACAAAGTTTTATTGATATTTTTAGAAAAAAAACTAAAAAAAAATGGAAAATGAAAATTTCCCTAAACAGTTCATAATAAATCAAAATATTTTGAAAATGTTATCGTGTATAGAAAAGGCAAATATAAACAACCAGTCAAAATTTCATGTTCCTACAGTCATTTGTTTTAAAGTTACACCAAAAACCAAATTCGATTTTGTCAAAAACCTATTTTGCGTAAAAATTCCCGTTTTTCCTTCATTTTTATGTTGTTTTTCCCGGCACTTGTGAAAACTATTGGGAATTTTAAATTTTGACCTCCCCAATGCACCAACGATATTCACTCTCCAATCGAACAAGATACTGAAGTCGAAAATCGGAGCATTATTTCGACTACTTATCGTGTACACAGACACAAAAATAAAAAAACACACATCATTGTAAAATCAATACATTCATCGTTTCACTCAGAATCTAAAATATACTTTTACTCACTAATTTATAACCCATTGGTAATTTATAACTCCTCCATTCTTTTATTATTTCCTGAGTTGATGTGGCCTTTTGAATTTCATTTAGTCTATAATTGACAGTTGAACTCCAATGTCGTTCAAGTTCTGGAAGACTACAATTATCATGTTTAATTTGATTCAAAATTAATTGTACATCTTCTTCAGGTTCTGTTTTAAATTAAATAATGTATTATGTATAATATGTATGATACAATATATGATTTTTAAAAATATATTTACCAAAAGTATTGCTAGTCCAACTACTAAAATCCCTACTTTTAGTTATTTTTTTTATTGATTTTTGTTTTGAAATTAACCCACTTGATTTCAACGTTCTCATTGTATTATAGTAATTGCAATATAACTTCCCTTTGGGTTGTCTTGAACAGTCCTTAATGAAATAATTTTCCTACAAAATGGTATGATAAATTAAATTTTTAGTTATACAAGTATTTTAATAGGTACTATATTTATTCATATCAAACCTTCAATTCAGAGGGAAATAGTTGCTGTATTTGGTCAGCAATTTCTTCTGCCAATGACACAGACATTAATATTTTTTTTGTGATCAACTCTTGAATTATTATTTCGACTAAAAGTGTTCTTATATTGTCATTTATACTGTTATGTTTCTTATAATAATCAATTATTAAAGCACCCTGAGTGGAGTTTAATATATTTGATACTTCAATGTTTGGATTCTTTGAAGGTATTATACACTGAATACTTTGGTTTTTGTCTAATTTTATCATTTCCAACGAAGACGAACAAGAAGAAGATGGGATAACATGGGATGATGTTATATTTTTATTAGGTTCATTTTCTGTAATATTACTTTTTTGCCATGCTTCAACATGGTACCTAAAGTTGATCTGAACGCCTAAAGGATATTCCTTAACTAACAGGGACATTTCAGATGGATTTATTCTTGACAAACTTGTAAGGTCTACCAGCTCAGCTATAAAAAAAATAAAAATAAAGGATACAAATTAAATATTTCAGAACTATATTTATGAATTATGTTATAATTACTTAAGCATGTTTTGTATAAACAACTCAATCCCCATTGGCTCAACAAGTCACTTAAACTTTCAATATTTTCCAATGGATATTCATAACCGCCAACCGTTGGAATATCCACATAAATTGCAGATTGATCCTATATTTACAAAAAAATTAAATTCTAATTCAGTTTTAAATATTTTATAAGATAATACATACTTTATTAAAATCCTGAGTTTCAGTAAAAGAGCACTCTTCATTACTAATTGAAGCAGACATTGAATCATTCAAATTTTCAAAAATGTTTTTGATACTATTCATTCTTCTTTTAATTACAATTAATTCTAATTAATTTTATTACAATATAATATGTTTTTAATCATAAATCTTAAAAGTTATTGGTTAAATTATAATTATATTATTATACAAAAACAAAAATTAGCTATCAGTTATTGAAATGTTATGCCTAATAATAAACATAATATTCATAAAGATGTATATTACATAAAATACTCTTTTGTTCTGAACATTTTTTTGCCTATTGAAGTATTAACTACATTTATTGGTAGTCCATTAAAGTCATTTATTTCATTAAAAACTGGATTTAAAATGATATGCTCATTGAAATCTACTTCGTAGGCTTCTAAGTGAGAATGAAAACCATTTAATTGTATTTGTTTGGTCAAAATAATTATTTTAATGTTACTAATCACTATTATTTCTATAATTTTAAATAGACACATTTCATAAATAAACCTGGTTAAGTAGTATCCTTCTTTGTAATTAGTGCCCTTGTATTCAATTTTATTATAACATTCATACTGGTTAGGTGTTATTTTATATTTATCACTTATTAATTTGCCAAATTGACTTTCTTTAATTTTGTGTTTAAAATTCAATACCAAATCATCTTTTTTTGGCTGCATAAGTAGATAGGCAAATTTAATTTGAAATTTTTTTGCAAGTGTTAGTGTTATATTTTTTCTTGATGTTATTGAACGTGCATACATTTTTATCTCCTTATGTTTTCCTTCAAAACGAAAACACCAAAAATGTCGAGGTGGTCCTGATTCACGTATTATATTAGGGTAGTGTATCAAAAAATGATGTTTGGGCTTTAGTCTATCATTAAAAAGTTGGCTGTATAAAAAATTATGGTCTTTAATTAACTGTTCCAAATATATTATTGAGCTTTCTGTAAATTTGTAAGACAATAATAACTCAACTATTTTTAACAAAATAATTACAAAATTCCATACCTCATCATCTTCAGGAATTAAGTATCCTATCATCAGAGGAAAAAAATGTATAAATGTCATTACTTCTCGTGCAGACATTTTTAAGTGATTGTTTTGTAAATGTAATAATGTAATTTCGGGTGAAATATTACCAACTTCTATTGGACCATAGTGAAATGTGGTTTTTCGATTATTTAATTTTTCCAAAGAAAATAATTTAACAGTTTGCGTATAATAAAAAATTACATGACAGATATCGTAATGGCATATCCCTTCAAATATGTCATGCATGACATCTACACAATAATTAGTTACAACATAAAAACTATAAATTTGATTTAAAACAGACTCTTGATAAATCCCAGTACTTTTAAAGTCATTTGTATTTATATCATTTGAATAATTGTTAATTGTGCGCAGTAATTGTTTATTTTCAACAAATAGTTCTAAAGCTTCAGATTTACTAGCTTTGCAAAAACGACAGTAGTAGTTTGCTGAGAAAGATTTACTAAAATCAAGCATAGTGTTCAATCCTAAATTGTCACCCAATATTAAACCTAGAATAAAATGCACATGAAACTCTCCGCTTGGTGTTGTAACTATTATTCCTTCTTTTTCAAGAACATTTATTTCCTGTATTAAATGTGTTAAGCATGGTTCGTTTCCAAATTTTTTATAATCAGTGGTTTTTATAAGTGCAGCCAGGAAAATATTTGAGAGTTGAGAACTGTTTTCCGCAAGTGGAAAACTATAGTAAATTGCAGATATTGATTGGGACATTGCATGAGACCCTAAAGGATTGTTTATTTCCACATCATCCATGTACAAAAAAAAAGGAAAAACTAATTTTCCAACATACTGCAATGTTTTCTGTCGCCAAAGATTCCCTTGTACAAAATGAGAGATACTTGAATTGTCATTTTTTCGTAAGGTGAGCTTATTAATAAAACTATTCAAATTATCACCATGTTCTAAATATTTTTTAAATTGTTCATTCAAGGGTAACAGAGCTCCTTTAGGCACCTTTTCATCATAGATTGTTTCTCCCATGAGCTGAACATTACAAATTTCATTGTTAATTGTAAATTGTTGTAAATGAGTAACATATTGATTTTGAACTAGTCATTTTTCTAGACGATATTCGGTACTACAAGGTTGAAAAGGATTTGAAAAAACTGAGCTAAGTTTATTAAGTTTTAACTTTATGACTGAATGTTCAACTTGGGTTTTATTTAATTCTGTAAGCATAAATGCCATCGGTTTAGTTAAATTTTCAATAATGCCATTTTGTATTTTTAAAACATCTTTGACCGTAAAGTTATTATTATTGTGTAGACTCATAATAAATGTTATACTGATTTATATAAGGAATTAATAGCAGGAGTTAATACATTCAATGTTTAGCCAATGTAGGTATTAATAATACCGTATTATAAGTTATAACAACAATTCTCATAAAAAATAAAGTGGGCATATATAATATATATACCTAGTGATACGAATTTATGTAAAGTATAATCATATTTTGTAAAGCTGATTTATATGTTTGTTGCACTAAACAAATTAATTTGTCAATTGAAAAATATATTTTATACAATATGATTTTATCATTCAAGTACAATTTACTGTCAGAATGATGATAAAAATTATCGATTTAAAAAAATGTATATTGTAAATAATAAATACATTTTGTTGGTTGGATTTAATAAGATTTATCAAACTTTCAACTTTTTGTCAGGTTGATAAAAAAACAACAACATTATATGACAAATTTTTTATTAATTTATCAATAATTGTATCACCACGATAAAATATTGTCAGCGTAATACATGTTAGATTTGTCAATTATTTACAAAACGCGTTTGTCAATGTTACAAGTATTATTTTTTTCAATGTGGTTAAAAGTTAATCGTGATTTACCAACATTTGGATTTCACCACGTTAATCACGGTTCCACTAAATGCGATTACGGTAACCCTGATTAACCTTATTAATCGCGATTAACTTCATTACTAGATACCACGATTATAAAGAACAGGTTAAGCGACGTGGGCTGGATCGTCGGTCAGAACTCGTTACGGCGTAGTTCCATTAACTGCCGAGCGCTGCTAGTCAGACGTGTCAGATTTTTATTATTTGATATTGCGTGTGTATGTACACGATTATAAAGAACTTAAAAAGTTCTAAAGTTCTTTATAATCGTGGTCGTGTATGGCCTATCACTCACTATGGCTATCACTTTATCACGATTTGGAAATAATTGCACTTAAGTTAAAGTACCTATAATATATTTTTTTAGGAACTTAATTATTTTAATGAGTGTATGCATTAATGCGGATAATCGAGAATTTTAGGTGATAACGTATTTGTAACTAATGATTTGCGAAAATTTTTTTGCAATCTACATTTTAAAAATTTCAACTTACTTAATTTTCAAATAATATCATCATAATATGTTCTATAACTTCTATTGCAGTACAATTATACCATAGTTAGTATCATATACAATTTGACATTTGTTTGTATTCTTATTTGTTTTTATTTAAATAATCTGTCTAGAAAAATAACAAATACCTTAATTGGTACAGGGGTGGCAAAAACTTTTTTTTTCCTATAAAGTAATTTCCTTAAATTACCACACCAATTTTTTTACACATTGTAAACACAGGTTATATATGACTATACAAGTATAAATTATAAACTAGTATAGTTATCTAGGTCTTGGAGACTGGAGTTTACTGAAAATAAAATAAATGTTCTGTAGAGTATAAGTTTTCCAGGAAATAACATGCCAAGAGGGGTGCTATAGCACTCTAGCACCCCTCTCTGGATCCAATTTTGAGTCCTAAAAAAATTTTGAAACCTAACCTAAATAATTAAAAAAAACAATTAAAAATAAAGTCAACGTTAAGTAAACTAATGAGCTGAAAAGCAAAAAGCAAAAATGCAGCTTCAATTTTTTGAAAAATAAAAACAAGATAATTTTAAATATTTATTAGCAAAAAATGAAGAGGATATTGCACATATTCTTACTAAATTATAAAAGCTAATAGTTAAATATGTAATAATTTGGCCATAGGCGTGCGCAGACTTTATTCGCAGGTTATGCAATAAGGAAAATAGGGCCCTCTCACACATTCTAATCTTTCCTTAATTTATTCTAAAAAACAATTCTAAGCCGTTAAACATTTTTTTTAACACATATAGGATTCAATTTACAATCTAAGTTTGTGCAAATATACTACTGTCTACTTAGCTTTTTTGCTTCCCTCGGAATCTGAAATCACACATAGTTTTGCAGTAGAATATTAAACAATGCGCTGTAGAAATAAGTAGTTTGAAATTTGAATTATATTTATTTAAAGAAAATTTGATCAAGTATATACTAGTATGAATGTTTTTGAATAATTTTAACATATTAATAATGTTGTTATTTCATGGAAAGTATTTAAAATCTAAACTCTAAAGTTCAAATAGTTCAAGTCTTCATTTTATTCACATGTTTTGAATTCATCTATTACTACTTCAATATTGATTTCTGATGCCATTTTTTGCTCGATAAATATTGACATCAGTGAATCAAGAGCAAGACGTTCTTGTGACATAGTACTGGACTCAGTTATAATAATAATATGGTCTTTGATTACAAACTATAAAAACAATAATAATATTATTCTATTCTTGCAACATAGATAACAATATCTACGTGTTACGCTTTAGAGTATTAATAGTTTAGATTATCTTGCGGGTCTATACTTATTGAGATAGTTACAGAGCACTTCGGTGTAATAGAGTCTAAAAAGACAGACGGGGTAAGCATAAAACTAAAAAACGCCGAGTGGCAAAAAATTGCGGAGAAATTCGCTGCAGCACCATCAAGTTACTCAAGAGACTCCCATAGCTTGAAAATGCTGTGGGACAATCTCAAAAGGAAGACGAAGGCGGCAATGGCTATACAAGCTGATAACATTTACGGCACAGGTAATAAATGCATATTACATAAATCATATGATTTGGTATTTCTATTAATTGATATTGTATCTTTTTCGTAGGAGGCGGAAAAGCTAAGAAATCAGTAGCTGATCCAATAGTGGACGCAGTTGTTGGTCTTATTCGGCCAAATGTCGAACCCTTTAATAATATTTATGACGACAATAATTATGAAGAGTGCAGGAGCAATGTCACCACTAGTATGTCTACATTAATAATTAAAAATACTATAGTCATTGCTTATAATGGTTATATACTTGTGTAGTTATTATTATAATTACTGATTATTAATTGGATCTACCTTTTTGTTATTGATATTGTTATTTGCTATAGAATTATATTTATTCATATGTCACTTTATTATCATAGAAAGTTACGTCTATTGTATATTTTGAAATTCATTGTTTTTCAAACGTAGTTTTTGGTTTAAAATATTTTTAAAACTATATTCAACTATTAACAATATGATGACTTATCTGATACATAAAAAATATTTGTATAATTCAAGTGTATTTGATTATATATACAAGATTTTGATATTAATATTTATTAAGATGAATTTACTAAACTTTCAATATATTACAGATACTAATCAGTTTGAAGAAAATGAAGAAATTATTGTTAAACATGTTGAGTTGAGTCTTGAGGTCAGTACCATTAGTTAATTGATGATTCTGTAGTAAAAAAGCTTATACTTTGGCATACCTCATAACTTTTTGTATTATTTCAGGCTATGATTAACAATGATTTTGATAATAATTACATTTTATTGCAAAATGATTGATCTCAGTACAACCCCGCCAATTAATTGTTAAATAAAATGTGTATATTTATTCAAATTTCGATTTTTACTTTTTTTTTTTTTTTAGTTGAGTGATTATAGGATTTGAGTGAGTAATGTACTAACGCCATATATACGCCAATTATTATAGTAAATATTATATGATTATAATGGCCTATTTTAAAAATCTATTATTATAATCTCAGTTTTATACTCTATTCAAGAGTTAAGTTAACCCATTCGTTGATGTGTGATTAATCTGGAACAAAAAAAAAAGAAAAAGGTTAGACAATACATTGGTAAACACTCTAAATAAACATAGATTAAATTCAACAGATGTACTATATAATATAATATTTTATATATTTTATATAGTATTTATTAAATACACTTTCATGTAGGTATGTTAAATATTACATAATAATATTCCATGGCTAAATTCTTTTATAAACAATACATATGAACGGTTTTTAAAGCACAAATGTGCCGTAAATACCGGCCTATCCGAGTCGGAATTGGTTGGTATTATAGCAGGATTAACGCGCGACACTTTCCGAACACACATCCGTCTACAACGGCCATTGACGTTCAACGAACTACGACGCATCGCAGGCGTTTTGGACCCGGTAACGGACAGCACCAGCCCGACCCCCCCAACAATGGGCCCCAAAACCCAAAAAAGTGGCGGATACCCCGCAAACAGCCGCCCCGGTCAAAAAAATTTTTTTTAAAAAATCAACAGATGATCACCCACCGGGGCCGTGCAGGTATTGTGGGGAACTCCACTGGAACAGTAAGTGCCCACACAAACCGACCACGTCGGGAAACGGCGGGGGAGTCGACGGGGACTAGTCCCCCCCATCGACTCAGCACCACCATTAACTACAGCCGACTCTTGATTTTTTAAACGTTGCGACAACTTGTCTCTAGAAAATACACCAATGAAATGAGGTATTTTCAACATGGCAGCGTATTTTATAACCTCATAATCGAACAACGCTCTATCGGGTAACGTAACAATTAGTTTTTTGACCTAGACTTCTTGACTGAACCGCCCTTGTGTGGTTTTCTAGACTTCTTAACTGATCCACCTTTGTATGGTGTTAGGTATAAACCTTCTCCTTTTACGACTTTATAAGAACTACCCTTGTGAGGTGCTAGATATAAGCCTTTGCCTAAATGAATAGGAGTGTTTTTACCAGAATTTAGTTCTTTCACGACTTTTACTATATTACCGACATAGATTCATAAACAACGGACTGGCATTTCTTTTCTCTGAAATGAAATACGAAATAAACGGTACTCAAATTCAGAAACTCGTCAATCCGGGTATATCGACCACATTAAAAGGATATTGCTCGTATAATAAAACAAATATTTCATCGCATCATAATGCTGCTTGGGATAGCGAAATTAAATCTGCTAATAAAGATTTTATCGATAACGACCATTTTAACGGATGTATTAATCTTAAAGA